AGGAGCTGTGGCTGCAGAGGTAGCTGTCCCCACATCCTAGTTAATGAAGGGGTCATGGGGAGCTATAATTGTTCTATGATAAGAAAACCAAAAGCAAACATCATAACATTTAGCTATTGATATTTCCCTGTGTTTTCTTTGATTCTTAAATAGATGCAGTTGGAAAAGAGGCTGTATAACAGACCCTGAATCTGCCCTATTCATTGGCCTGTTCTTCCCATTGCCCAAGTGTCTTGCATATAATTTGGAAGTATTTATTATACTGACTATATAATAATCCCTTTTGCCTCCACACTGATGCAGAGCTGGTTTGGCTAAATGAGGGGAAAAGCTTCTAGTTCTGTGTTTTGTGCAGCATCTAGCAGTGAGGTTCTGGTATGCAAAGAATAGGAACACAGATGCAGATTTTTACTGCCTTCTCCATTTGTGTTCAGGGCTATTGTCAAAATGCTCTTGTTGAATGTGTGCTGTTTTCTCCTCTTTTGTGTTGTAATTCATGCCTGGAGTAGTTTCTGTAACAAGTTTTCTGGGAGCTGGCAGGATGTGTAGTATGTCTAAGTGGGTTTCAAGAACCAGCCCCTTTTCACAGGACAGAGCCTGCATGACCTAAGGCACTGCAGGAGTCTCGTTGTTCTCAACAGCTTTGCTCATTTTGGATAAAGACTGTTTTACAACACACTAACTTGCAAATGGCTAGTTGGTAGCTGTATCTTCAATGAGCTTTCTTTCTACTAAGCAAAGTATAGGTCAGTGCAAATAATGGATTAAAAAGTAATGCTTGCTGATTACATCTTGGGCCCAGTGTCTTTTAGTGACTAACTGGATGAGTTCCAGATTTTAGAAAAAGACCTCTAACATTTCTGATGAACTTTGTGCTTGCTTTGTTTTAAAATGTCCTCAGTGGAAGCAGTTTCTTCTAATCACAAATCTGTGCTAAGCTGAGAAGTCATAATTCAAGCTTATATCCTCTTTTTCATTATTATCCCCCACACCCTGCAAGTCGGTGCCTGGGGCTAGTGCCCCATTTGTCCTCCATAAGTTATGCTACTGGTTGTTGTGGTATCTTGGTATATCACTTCAGTGTATCTTGCATACTGCATAGGTGTATGGCACTATATCGTGCTGTGGTAATTATTTGAAAGGGCATACACTATGTTGTGGGCCAGCTAACTCTTATCAGTTTAGATAATTGCAGTCAACCTCAAAATAGACCCAGCAATTCAGACTTGGACTCATTTGATCACATGGTAAATGTCTCTGCATTGTGGCAGTGCACCCTAGCTATGTTAATATATTGCACTGACATATTTCATAGTGATTTTTTTCAGATTTTGTAATAATGACAGTTGACATTGACAAATAACCTACATAAAAGACAAGACAGTTCTCCTCCCTCTACCCTCTCTCTCCCCTTTTTCTCTCCTTTTCTTTCTCATTTAATTTCCTTCTTTAGGAAGAGACTGCCTTCCACTAATTTTGGAAAGGAAAAGTAAAACCTATTTCAAATGAAGATAATTAGAGAGTGAGATGAATGAAAGATACAGCGCATAAGTATTAAAAAATAAGTAAATGAAGTTAAACAACTGATTTATGATGATGAAATTTTTTCTATCAGGTGATGCAGGTAATGAAATTGAAACTTCTGTTAGTGTTCCAATGAGTTATATAATCAAAAGGATTATTAATGTTTAGAAGGTGTGTAATTTACCCAGTCGCCCCTTTTCTCTGAATGGTGCAAATTTGTGACTTCATTTGCAGGTCCTGTGCCAAGGAATGAATGTACCCTATCACCTGTTAATAGTTCCCACCCGGTTCACGCCCTGCTGGAAAGCTTTACTGTCTTATCTGGCTGTGCAAGCAGAGGCACGACAGGTCTGCCCCAGGAGGTGCATATCCTCAATCTCCGAAACCCTGAGGAAGATCTTGGCTATCATGAAAGAGAGGTAAAAAGGAGATTGTTCACTTTTTGAATAAGGTGTTAATTATAAAAATGGCTGTAAATGTTCTTTTTAAATAATAATTTGCTGAAAGAGTTTTCAAAATAACAGACAGAAATGCTACAGGTAATTTCATGGAATCTGCATTGTGGCTTTGCACCTATGCTTTGCTTGTTGAAGAAATAAAATCTCTTTAGGAGTTCAGAGTACTCATTCCATTCATCACCTTTTACCACCACATACTTTAATTAATAAAAAAAACCCCAGAGTGGTGAATAAGAAACAGATTTTGTTCTGGAAGAGGAGTTCACAGAACCAGCTGTCTTCAAAGCCAGATCATTTAGCTAAATGTGTTGTAAATTATCATGAATACTTTGGGATCTTTGCCAAGGTGAGTGCAAACAAATATTTACGTTCAAATTCTTTTGCCTTATAATACATCTTTAATTCTTAACTGATGGGGGCTGTAGTTCAGAGCACAAGTATTGCTGACTACAGTAGTTCTTAAGCACGGTGCAATTACTTATTTATGTAGGCTTCATTCAGAGGGATTGGGGAGAAATTTAATTCTAGCTGCTATGAAGGCAGCAGCATCGGAAGAAAATTCTTAATGTTAACTGTGCAATACTGCTGTTTACTCTGAAAACAGATCAAAGTGGAGTGCTGAAATGAAAGGAAAATGTTTCATGTCATGACAGCTCAGGTTCTTAGCTCTTGTACTTACAATATTATGCAAAAAAAACCCAACCCACTCACTGTTGCAGTTATATAATATGCAGAATTTGTAACATTAGAAAAAAAACTAAGCCTAGGGTTTTAAATAAGTGTTTTAGAACAGTGGTTCCCAACCCTTTTTATACCGCGGCCTGGTGGGAGTGGGATGGGGCATGCGGAGCTGGCTGCCTCCCTCTTGGGGCTGCTCCGCCATGCAGCTTTAATCCCAGAAGCTCAGCTTTAACCCTGGAAGCCGGTTGCCTTGATGGACGTGTAGCTGGGACTGTTTAGTGGTCAGTATATTGTATATACCACCTAAAACTTCAACTGTTGTGAACTTAAACATTTATAGTCCTGATTATAATGAAAAAGGTTATTCATTCTCTTTTTCAGAATTCAGCCTCACTGCCTGCCCTCAGCCAGAATGCCAGACCCACTTTTGACTAGTCACTACCTCAATGAATACATAAATTTGTACGAGCCCTATCAGGGTTGGACAAGAAAAGTAGAGACTTTTCTTGTATTTCATTCACAGAATTTGTGAAACATTTGGCTAGCACTCTGAGTGCAGTATAAATGCTTAGGAAGATACAGATGCACTAGTCAATTGCCCACCAGGAATGGGCGAGGGTGGAATGCCGCCATCCTCCCCGCCATGCTGCTGTCACCTCCCGGGAGTGGGGGAAGCTTGCCTCTCCATCCCCTTTGGCCAGCATCCCGTGCTGCTGTCGCCTCCAGGGAGCAGGGCGGGGGGAGGTGGGAGGGCAAAGCCAACAGTATTGGCTTTGGCCCCCTGCTCCGTCCCTGCTGTCATGGTGGTGCACTACTACCGCCACCTGTCCAGAACACTCTTGGAAAATTCTGATTCGTTGTTTTGGTAACCAATCAGAGTGCTCCAAAAGCGTTACGGACAGAGAGACAGACAGACGTAGCCCTTTATTATATTAGAATTGTATTTTCTGGGCATGAAACCCGTGTTATAATTTGAAACTAAGTCTGTTTTTCCATGATCCTGATTTCTGCAGTTGTTGTGGACTTCACTGGAAGTCTCCTGTGTGAAAGGCCACAGAATGTTCTTGGAATCTAGACAAAATCATGGAAGATGGGTGCAGAACTGGGCCTCCTGCTTTCTCATAATCTGTACAAAATTACACAAGATAAATTAACTCTGGAGCAAAATACTCAGCCTGCAGCAGAAAGAAGCTCTGTGTGTGCCATCACACATACTTATGTTAGCAAAACAGTTTGTCCAAATCCTACCTTGTTCTTCAGAATACTGTGACATAGCACAAATGTTCTGTGGCAAACACTGTTTTTCATCTGTAATCTATAGCCCATAACTTCCTTCCCAACCTCCTAATTTCTCTCTAAACCCTCCTAAAGTTATAGTCTTCTCATGCATGTATGACATGGCAAGAGGCATGACAGAAAGCACAAAAATTCCAGTTTTGGAATCTGGGATCAGATCCAAATAGTGCTCTTACAGCTTGCTAGTGCAGGGAGTGCCTATGCTGGCAAATTGAAAGCCAGGTGCCTGCATGTGGGGCTAACAATCAACTGATTGCCAATCCTGCCACAATGCCAAGTCCTGTTTGCGGCCCAGGGCTCTCCAGGGACTAGGGCTGACAGTCAGCTGACTGTTGAGACCCTGTGCTGGACAGCTATAGCTGAGCTGCTTGGCGCAGGGTAGCAGAGACTTCCCTGCTGTGAGGGAGCAGAGACTTTTTCTGCTAGGGACTTTAAACCCTGGGTTGGGGTTCTGCTTCCCCACACAGGGCAGTCTGGCCAGAGCTGTCTGGTGCAAGGTCTTAAGTCTCAGCAGTGGGAAGCCCTTGGGCTTCCCTCCTTCCCCCAGCCATCCCAACAATCAGCTGATTGTTAGTCTCAGTCCCAGAACTGCACTGAAGACTTCTACTGATTGTCAGTCTCAACCCTGAGTCTGCACAGGGGTCACTTGATTCTAATGTCATCCTGGAGCCAGGAGAGATGTTGTCTAAATCCAGCCATGCAGCCAACATCAAGCTGCATGAACACGTGGCAGGGTCTACGCCAAGTTAAAGCATGGTGGAAACCAGCGCAAAATTATTACACACATTTCATGGAATAATTTTGCAGCTGGTTTCATGTTTTGTTGCAGCATTAATATCCTGAACATGTGACCAAATTATTATTTAAGGCATAATTAATAGGTTAATTTCATCTTGAGTATAAAATCTGTCAGGGGCCTTGGGAGACGACTACTCTGAAATGAACAGGAAGCTGGGGAAATGCTTGCTGGCAGCAGCAAAGACCAGAAGAGTGTATACAATTCAAAGATCAGATTTTACTTATTGGATAAGAGTCTGAAAACAAAGCAGAGCAAATGTTATCTCTTCTATCATTGTAAAAGTCAGGTCTAACTGGCCTTTTGACTTAGAAGTGGAATGCAACCATCACTTTGTGTTAAGTTAAATTGCTTCACCATCTAGAGTATTTCCTGATGCCTGCAAATGCTGATAGCAGAGGCTGAGATTTGTATGTTTACTATAAAATACTTCCTTAGGTTTCTGGAATAGAAAAGTCTTTTCTTTGCAAATATATTGATGATTAGCTGCAGTGTTTAAGATGCGTTTCAAACAGATCTTCCTTGCATTTGGTGATCTGTTGAAGTTCTGATGATATGGAATATAAGACTTTATTCTTCAAACTAGAGTTGTGTTGATGGGTTTTTTTTTTTTTTGTTTTCTGATATTTTTATCTCTTTTAGTTTGTCCTACAATGGGTGTTCCTAAGTTTCACATTCCTTACTTGCTGAGAAGAGTGTAAACTTCCTGCAGTAAATTCCTCATACAGCTCATGCATTAAACATGCTAGTTCAGTTATCAAGGTTCTCATAAATATACAACATATATACATGAATATAACTTAATTTGACACATGCTTAGAGGAAGAAGATAACAAGCTCCCTCAAACTTAAACACTCAGGGGAGTCTGTTCTTTCCATGACACATACATAAAACTTCTGCTAAGATTAACAGGAATTATTAGTGCCTTGCAAACGGAAAATAATAGCTGGACTGGAAACATGGTATTTTAGATATATGCTGGAGCTACCATAATGCTAAGCTGCCAATCACTTGTGTTAAGGTTAAAATTGCTAAATAAAAAGGTCATGTTCTGACATGTTACATCATGGCTGCTGTCTTCAAGGAGTTTATTTACTTTCCTGCATTTTTCCCCTACCCTAGTTTTTTTTAACTGTGGGTGACATCTCATTTGTTGAAAATATCAAGGTGTTCTCTTTAAAAAAATCTTTATAATGAACTCCAATCTTTCACAGACATTTTTCAGACGTGTCTTATATCCTGTGCCCTCCTAATTTACCATCCTTTTTCATAGGGGGTGCATGTAATAAACTTAATAGCTATGGCTGATTTGTTTGATCGATTATTCATCAGAAGGTGAGGGAGTTGAGTAGATAGGAGAAGGGGGTCTGAACTGTTCTGTGAACCAGAACCTACCTCTTCACATTCAAAATTTTACATTTCATGATATCTTTCTCTTCAGCTTTGGGTTGCTTCTCTGCTTAAGTTTTAGTACCTGTATGAAGAAGATCATGCTTGCTTTTTGAGAGCTGTTGAAAATTACTTAATATGTGTAGTTTCACAGTGTATAGGTAAAATTAAAATGATTTAAAGATGAAAAACACATCTTACCAAACTGTATCTTAATGGAAGTTTCTTTTAGCATAATTGTCAATTATACTTCTTTCCGCTGTTGCAGTCACACAGCTAATGATTGGAATGGCTAAAGGAAAAGAAATGTAAAATTAATCTCATGTGTATACTTAAAATTGAATGCGTGTGAGTAGATGAAATCAAAACCCCTGGCAATGCATTCACTATTGTTTTCAGATACATCCTCAGTAACTTGAAGATGCTGTGCCTGAGATAGATGCCTAATGTGTGTTTTAAATGAAGGCAGGACAATTAAGGGCTCAGTTCTGCTCTTGGTTGCATTTGTATGAATCTCTGTGTTTTTGTGTTTTTTGAAGTACTGTATTTACTCAATTCCAAGATGAGGGTTTTCCCCCATTTAACATGGCTGGGTGAAGCCCCTCTTGGAATTGAATGCAAGGTGGTGAAGGGGGGCAGGTAGCTGCTCTGGCTCCAGCTCTAACTGCACCTCTGGGTCAGTGCCAGAGCCACAGCTGCTTCCTGCTCTGCACCACCTGATTCCTGCCTCTCATCACCCATAGCCTTGGGCATCTACCTCCCTGTCCCTGCCCACTCCCCTCCCATATCTTCTGTGCA